CTCTGGGGAGGGCCGCTCTCTGCACAGGACGCCACGGAGCGTGACTACATATGGGCGTCCATTCCGCCCCCAGCGAGATGGCGAGCCTCTTGCGGGCACCACCGCGGATGTGACTATAAAGGGGGGAGCTGCCTCGGGGGAGGAGTGGGAAGTGGATCGCGGACAGGATTCCACGTGGTACGATCATACCTTGGCTACTACGCCGGATCCCATCAGAACTCCGCAGCTAAGCGCCAGTGGGCGAGAGCTGTGTTCTGATTAATAGCACTCTTTGCGTAGGCTGGCGAGCGCGGGGCCTGCGAGCGAGTGGCCCATGAGCGCGGGGCCAGCGAGCTACGGTGGCTAGGAAGAGCTACCTCGGCTAGGGTAGGCGAGGTAGGCTAGGGCGGAAGTTGGTGGGCGGATCTAACCTAACCGATACCATCTTAGAGTAGCAGAATAACTAGAAAAGACGGTACATGGTAGTTTTTTGCTAGGTGTTGTACTCTCTATGGGCATGCACCTAGCTAGCCTATAAACATATACAATTATGTGTGGACTGAAGCAATGCAAGACAAGAAGGGGGCGAGAGATTTGTCACCCTTGAGCCTGATTGGTGGAGCCGTAGTGCTTGGCCACTATTTTGCGTGCACTCATGGTAGATATAAGATGCATGAGGAAATATCGGAGGATAGGAAAATATTTCCTCGGAAAGGGGAGTGGGCATTGCAGATCCTAGATTATAAGGTGATAGTGAGGGAACAAACAACAATGATGGAACGCATAACAATGGGAGACACTACGTTGATGAAAGATGGCAGCGCTGATGAAACATGGCAACAACGCAGGTGCGGAAACTGTGAGACGAGCAGTATTCTGGTGGCTGAGGCTCATTAGTGGGCAGAGCGTTGAGTGTTGGATGATGGGGGTGGAGGGGTGGGGAGTGAGTGGCAGAGCGACGAGGCTTTAAGGGTGAGGAGTGAGGGGTAGAGGGACGAGAGTGGAGGGGTGAGGAGTGAGGGGTAGAGGGATGAGGGTGGAGGGCTGAGGAGCGAGGGGTAGAGGGACGAGGGTGGAGGGGTGAGGAGTGAGTGGTAGAGGGACGAGGGTGGAGGGGTGAGGAGCAAGGGATAAGGGGACGAGGGTGGAGGAGTGAGGGGTGAGAAATGAGGGATTGTTCTTACCAGATGGTACTCTGTTGAAAGAGCACTCCATAGATTGTCAGATTATCCTGCACAAGGGGGCTCGGGATCTATCAGTGACAGCGGTAGTTCAGAGCAGGACCAATGGGCAATGTGTACATGAAATAGACAGCACATTGGACTCACGATTTGCCAATGGCTGTGATGGTGGAGACGAAACCGTGCAGTGCGGGAGGGGAAACAGAGAACAAGGGGATTAGGGTCAATTATGCAGGGAGAGAGAGGGAGGATTGTGAGTGATTCACGATCTGCCGGTGGCAAAGTTGGTGGAGAACAGCCATGTAGGAAGCAAAGGAGAAAGGTGGGGGCGTGAGAGGAGGTTGACTGACGATTTCCCGTTGGTTACATTTTTATGCTCATGGGTGCACCTTTCAGTTGGCAGAGCAAGAAGCAATTGGTTGTGGCCTTGAGCTCTACCGAGGCTGAATACATGGCCTTGACTCAAGCTGCAAAACAAGCGGTTTGGCTTCATCGCCTCCTAGCTGAATGCAGCTGCAGCAAAAGATGGCAACTCATATATGCGTTGACAACTAGTTAGCCATCTTGCTTGCACCTCAGTGAGTAAGGGGGAGTGTTGCAAGAAGAATCTCGGAAGTTGTAGCAGATTCTGGAGTGTGCTCTACCAAGGTGCAAGACTTGACATATCCAGAGCTGTGTGGGATTTTCCCACTAGTTAGAATTGACGCCCTTGGGACGAGTGGTTTCGAGCGTCACGAACTATCTAAATACACTACATTCTGGAAAGTTCTTACACTAGAAGTTTCGGCATGCTCTTCCAACCTCCAAGGCTTTGGAGTTCCATGACTATAAATGCTCATTGTATTTGCTGTTTTGATCATTCTGAAATTTACTAAGCCCAGCTACCCGCTTACACTCGAGCTTCACAAGCAATACTCTTGAGCCCTTTTACAAGCCCACTATGCCAGGCCTCTTGATATCATGATGAAATAGGCTGATGAACCTTACTATAAGGGTGGGGTATGCGTTGAACCCTTATTTCTTGGAGTGGTTTTTTTACAAACCCTTACAAGAAAATGTAGAAAAGTTTAGGGGCCTGATTTATAAGAGTGCTTGGGTGTAGGCACGATGATGAGGAAAAGTGCCCCCAAGGCCGACCCTTGCACGAATTTCATGCTAAGTCCCCAACTGCCAGATACACTCCTCCCACACCCCTCGCAAGCTGGTTTTTCCAGCTAAGTCACCTACACTAGAGACATTTCTTCCCACATCTCTAGCAACCCAAAACATTGGCTGAGTCCTTCACACCAGAGACATTTCTTCCCACACCTCTGGCAACCCCAAAATTCGGCTAAGTCTCCAAAGCCAGAGATATTCCTCCCCACACCTCTCCCACACTATAAAATATTGGCGAAGTCCCAAAGTGCCAGACATTTTTCCCATACCCAGGGCCTAAAAGATGGCTCATATCCCTCCCACACTGTCCTCGCATTCCGATTTTGAGGAACAGCTTTAGGGGTTTTTAATTTGCATATAGGCTTGGCACAAAAATCCTCCTACCAAACATGGGTTGGCCTTGTTCGGAGACCTTGCTTCAGCCGGCTTTTTCCACCCTGCTTGAGAAGGTGGAGGGCGGGAGCGAACCCTGAAATGGCAGGGTGGCTTGAAACAAAACAAGCGGGTCCCTGCATGTTACATGTCACCCTGCCCGCGAGTATTCTCGCCAACTTCGACACTAGCAACTTGGCGCCCTTTGTGGATGGGGGCACAGGGCAGCAAAACTGAGTCGCGCAACTTGGATGATTGCGCAACTCGCGACAGAAACCCCTCTCCAAGGCTTCGTTGCGCAATTGTACCAATCTGTTTTGGCGATAATTGCGCAAATCGGGTTTCAACTTGGAGGTGTTTTGCCAAAGTACCACACCCTAAGAAACCCGGTCTGATTTTCAGACGGGCTATTTTTCAATCAAGAACCCCGATGCCCAAATTGTGAAGCGACCAATTCTAGAAACCACGCATTACAATGAACGCACAGTTGGATTCTACCCTTCCTTCGAAGAGCGTTTTTTTTTTTCTAGGACCCTTATACTGCAGTCTTTCCACGAATTTTAGCCTTACAGGAAAAAGTGCCTTAGGGGGGGTGGGCTTATGAAAATGAGTACTTCAAATCCTATCCTGTGGCCTACACTACGCTATATTTTTGTGGTGATCTCCCGCTGCCACTAAGTCTCTGGAAATTCTACGATACCATCATCCAACCTCAACATTGCTGATGCGGAACGGATGTCGAGTCGAGGTGCGAGGTCCTTGCTGCAGGTATAGTGCCCAGCAAACAAGCCAATTTATATGAGAGGAAACACCTATTCTTGGCGTGGGTCACAAGAAATCTATAACGAAACCTGGGGCTACCTTGATCAGGCGGGGCTCGGCCTGCTGATTAGGCATGACGTCAAAAATGCCCTCGCAAGCCCAATCACATGCCAAATCTTCCAGAAATAGCCAATCAACGTCCTTGCCTCAGCCTCGGCCAACCAGTAACCAGGCCCTCACCCAAAGCGAAAGCACAACAACAGCCATTCTCGTTCAGGCTGAACGAACCTCAAAGCAGGTCGAGCCTGATGAATCCGAACCTCACTCCGAGCCCAGCGGCAAACACTACGAGTTCCGCTGGTCAAACCGTTACAGATGGTCCCCAATGGTGCGCCTCAGGGAGTGTTTTTAGTAGGTGTCATCCCGAAAAAGTGTCATCCGAGAATGTTGGAAACCCATCGCAACTGCTATTCCAAAACTTCAACGGTAACGATGGGTTTCCAACATTCTCGGATGACACTTTTTTGTATGATACCTTCTATAAACGCTCCCTGAGGTCGCATTCCAGACTGTTACGACAGATGACTTCCGAACAGATTTCACGCTATTAGGGTAGCTACCCTTGATTCAGAGAGGTCAAGGTACTTTTCTGCATGCGTTCGGAAATTGAAGAGGTTAACATGTCCCATTTTCAGGGTTTCCCTTGATTTCCGAGTTCTGTGACTTCAAATCCGAACGCGATCAGGGCGGATTTCAGTACAGTCTCGGAAACTTTCAAGAAATCCAGAAATGTTTTGGGACTTGGTCTGGGAACGTCTGTATTAACTTAGGGCTGGTACATTTTCTGCAGTTCACTCAATTGAGTTTTGGTACCTTAATACGCGAACGTCGTTTATATTTTGGAAACACCAAAACTCGCACCGCATCTGATGCGAAAAAATAGCAGCGTTCCATAGAGGGTTCGAGTCGTTGACCAAACTCTTGACCGCGTGAAACGAAAGCGCAGTCAAGACTGGGCTCGCGACATGCACGAGAAAACACCCTGTGTCGCACGACGCCCCAATTTCAAAATGCCAGCCCTGAGATGCGTCTCGCCATGCGGTCGCGACTATTGACCATGTCGCGAACGTCGCAAATACTCCCAACCTCCACTCGCCGGAGGTGCCTGTATTTCAAACTTCGAAAGCTCGACAACGTCAAGACAACCCGGCTGTTCATGGCAGAATGTCAGATTTACACAGAGTTCGAACACTACATGTCGAAGTTCACTGAACTCCAGTTCGCTTACAAAATTTGAATTATTGCAAAAACGCGAAAAGGTACCACGTCCTTACCCCAAGGATTAACCGACGAAGCAGACAATTACCCCTCCGAGCAATCCCAACTGTTCGGAGGCAATTGTTAATCCTCGGAACACATCTGTTCGGAGGCAATTGTTACGAAACCAGGAATGCCTACTTAGCAACACATCCTTAGATCAACCATTTCAGGCTGTTCTTGAACGCTCTAAAACGCAAAGGAACTCCCTGAACCGCACACATAATCGACCGTTTGGGATGCACTTCCCGTCCTCTATTCCTGGGGTGTGATCTACGTTCTCATGACTTTTCTCAGCTGCCGTGTTTTGCGGTGTGTAGATGGTTGCTGCCAGAATTCTAGGTCCTCGTGATCATTTCTGTGTCCGCGGCCGTCGCCGAATTTCCCTTTCGCCTCGGTAGTCGGAGTTAGCGTAGATCGTACAGTTCTTCTCAGCGATCAGGGCAAGTGCTTAGACTAGGCGTCAGTGGTGATCTGCGCGACCCGCTGGCCGACATGCCGCCAGGCACTCCGTCAGAAGCCGACGAGCGAGAGAATAGCTCAGCCGCCGTTTCTATACCCAATGAAGAGATTAGCGATGCGAGGAATGGCGAAGGGCCGAAAGAGCAGGAGGCGGTGGTGCCGCCGACGGTCAAGTTCATAATCGGCAACGAGTTCTGCGAGCGGTTTTCGTTCTACGGCATGCGGGCGATCCTCGCACTGTACCTGAACGAGAAACTCAACCTGTCGCAGTCGACGGCGACGGAGATGGTGCACCTCTTCATCGTCGCCGCGTACCTCGCTCCGCTGCTGGGAGCGTTTATCAGCGATAGCTACCTGGTAACCCATGATTCGCTGGCATGCACAATTCTTTCGCTATAGTTCGCTGCGTACCTCTCTACCCTGCTGGGCGCCTTCATCAGCGACAGCTATCTGCTTACCCTGCTCCTCTGATGGGTGCCTTCATCAGCGATAGGATCTGCCATGCACGGTTGCTTCTCCGTACTTCGCTGGTTTGACAGGCGACAGCTACTCCTAAACAGATTCTTAAACCCGCATGATTTCCTATCCGATCCACGTTGCAAGGTGGGTTTTAGGCCAATTATCACTACTTCACGCTACTCTCGTTATCTGCTGCGGGCGTGCGTCTCTTTGCTCGTCACCAAGCACCCGTCATCTTTATCTTCCCCGCGCGACCCCACAGGGCAAGTACCGGACCATTCTCTACCTCTCCTTCATCTACTGCGCAGGCAACTGGCTCGTCTCCTTCTCCGCCCTCCAAACCACCCCTTCCGCCGCGCTCCCCTGGGCCGTGGGGGGCCTCGCGCTCCTCGCTCTGGGCAGCGGCGGCATCAAGCCGTGCGTGTCGTCGTTCGGCGGGGACCAGATCGAGATGACGAACCCGCCGGGCGCCGCCAGGGACCGCCTGGTGCGGCAGTTCTTCTCCTACTTCTACTTCGCCATCAACGTGGGGTCGGGGATTTCGACCATCGTCACGCCGCTGCTGCGCGTCAACCTCTCGTACAGCGCCGCCTTCGCGCTGCCGGCTGTGCTCATGATGGTGGCCACGTGTCTGTTTTGGCTGGGCAGCGGGCGGTACGTGCACCAGCCGCCTGCGGGGAACGTGGTGTCGGATGTACTCGCTATAATCTTCTCCGCTTTGTGGCCGGGGAAGGCGAGAAGGAAGAGCTACCCGACGCTGGCCATGTCCATGCCCGTGCCAATCCCAGAGCGCCACGCCAGCTGCGCTGACGTGGACAGCTCCCCTCTCCTATCCAGCAGCCCCGCATCTTACGGCGGCGGGGGGAGCAGCCATGGGGGAGGAAACCGATTCCTACAGAGCTCTCCACAAAATCAGAATGAGAGCCCTCAGAGGAGAGGCAGCCAGCCGGTGCTGCAGAAGAAGCTGTCCAAGAGAGGCAGCAAGCGCGCGATCGTGCCCGTGGGGTATGTGCCCAAGGCGCACTGGCTGGACCCCGCCAAGGCCGAGCACGGGGACGAGGCGGTGGAGGACGTCAAGCTGCTGCTGCGCGTGCTCGCGCTCTTCGCTCCCGTGCCCATCTTCTGGTCCTTGTTTGACCAGCAGGCGAGCCGCTGGGTGTTCCAGGCGGAAAGGATGGACGGGCACATCTGGGGGGTGAAGGTGGAGCCCGACCAGATGCAGGTGGGTGGTTGCAAGATGGGCCTAGGGTGGGTGGGACGGCTGTGACATGTGGAGGGAATATTGGGGGGGGGGGGTGTTATGGGGTGGTTGGCACGGGGACGAGGCAGTGGAGGACGTCAAGCTGTTGCTGCGCGTGCTCGCGCTCTTCGCACCCGTGCAGATATTCTGGTCGCTGTTCGACCAGCAGGCGAGCAGATGGGTGTTCCAGGCTGAGAGGATGGACGGGCGGATCCGGGGGGGTTGAAGGTGGAGGCGGACCAGATGCAGGTGGGTGGCAGTGGGGGGGTTTGGGATGGGTGGGATGGGATTGCATGGGATTGGATGGGTGGTTTTCGGGGGATGAAATTGAAAGAATCGATGTTTGTATGGATTGGTGAGAGGTTGAACGGGTGAGAGGTTGGTTGGATGATGGGGAGGTTGAGCCTCACCCACACCCACACCCAAACCCGCACCCAAACCCACACCAACCCACACCCCAACCCACTCCAAACTTACACCCAAACCCACACCCAAACCCACACCAAACCCACACCCAAACACCCACACCCAAACCCACACCCAAACACCCACACCCAAACCCGCACCCAAACACCCACACCCAAACACCCACACTCAAACACCCACACCCAAACCCACACCCAAACCCACACCCAAATCCTCACTCAAACACCCACACCCAAACACCCACACTCAAACCCACTCAAACACCCACACCCAAACCCACACTCAAACACTCACACCCAAACCCACTCCCAAGCCTTCCTTGTCCTCCCATTGGTTCCCCAATCCCCTCTCCCGCCCATGGCAGACCATGAACGCGGCGCTCATCCTGGTGATGATTCCGCTGTTCGACCAGGTCATCTACCCCGCGTGCGAGCGCCTGGGCGTCTCCATCCGCCCCATCCGCCGCATGGCCACCGGCATGACACTTGGCGCGCTCAGCTTCGGCCTCTCCGGCCTCCTCCAGATCTGGATCGACGCCCGGGCCAAGGCTGGCCCGCCGAGCCTGCTGCTAGGCTCGGCAGTGACTGCTGCGGCAGGGGATGTGCCTGGGAGGGTGTTGCTTGGCATGATTGGTGGTGACATGACCGGCATTGGTAACCTGAGCAGCATCAGCAGCATCGGCAGCCTTGCCAACGTGACTAGCAATGTTACCCTGAGCAGTGCCGTCAGTATAGCTGGGCCGGCCCTGGCCGGGCCTCTGATGGACGGATGGGGGGGGGACTTGCTGGCAGCGGGAGGGGCAGCAGTAGCAGGAGGGGCAGGAGGACTGATGGCAGTGGCAGCAGGAGCAGCAGGGCCAGCAGGCAACGCCAGCCGGCATGTGCTGCAGGCATGTGGGGATCCCGGGAGCCCGCCGTGTGTGTCGCTGGCGTGGCAGGTGCCGCAGTACGTGATCATGACGGCGGGGGAGATCCTCTTCAGCATCACGGGCCTCGAGCTCGCGTACTCTCAAGCGCCCGCCAGCATGACTGCTGTCGTCACTGCCTTCTGGTGCCTCACCGTGGCTGGAGGTGAGAATTCCGTATGGAGAGTGCAGCTGTTCGTACTGGGGTGGGTGCCCCAGTACGTGATCTTGGCAGCGGGGGATATCCTCTCCAGCATCACTGGGCTCCAGCTCGCATACTCGCAGGCGCCTGCCAGCACAACTGCGGTAGTCACTGCCTTCTGGTGCTGCACCGTGGCTGGAGGTGGGGCTTGCTTGCTTGAAGCATGCATGTGGGCATCTTTCTCTTATCCGTCTGTCAAGCACAACGAGACACAGGCGGGAATCCTCCTCCTCCTCAGCATCAAGGGGCTGGGAGTTGCTCTGTGGCTGTGGAATGAGGCAGTGCGTATTCCCCAGCGCCTGCCAGCATGGTTGGCTGCTCTTGTCAGTGCCTTCTGAGTCGACTCAAAAGTCACCTCATGACTGACTGTTGTCGTCACTGCCTTGTGGCGGTGCCTCACCGTGGCTGCTGTCAAGCCACAATGTGCCTCAAAGAGCGGTTTGAAAAGAGAGTCACAAGGAATAGATGAACCAACACAGAGCTCAGGCTCAGGAGTTTTGCAGCTTTCCCAGATGCACAGTTTTTCTTCTTCATGGTCTAGCTCCCCACCTTGTGTCCCCGCTCCTCCCTCTGTCTTCCTCTCTTCGCTTTCTCCAGGCGATCTCTTCACAGCTGTGGTAGTCGGCATTGTCGGCTCGCACCTCTCTCAACCCCGGGAGTTTTTCTTCTTCACGGCCATGTGCCTGCTCTCCACCGTGCTGCTGCTCTGCCCCTCTCTCTTCATGTCTCTCCGCTCTTCTCTCTCCCCTCTCACTGCCTTCCCCAGGCAATCTCTTCACAGCAGTGGTGGTCGGCACAGTGGGCTCGCATCTCTCCCAAACCCAGGAGTTTTTCTTCTTCACGGCCATGTGTCTGCTCTCCACCGCGCTGCTGCTGTACGTGGGCAAGGGCTTCATCTACGTAGAGAGCTGCCAGGACGTGCCGCAGGCAGACTCAGACCCATACTCGCAGAACCACGGTTTTGGTGGAGTTGGAGGGGTTGGTGGTGGGATCGGGAGTGGTGAGGGGCATAGTGCCCCGCTGCCTGTGCCTGGTGGGTCGGGTGTGCGGCAAGATCGGCTGTTTGACATTGAAGGGGTTAGCAGTGTGATGTCGCCACCTGCTTCGTACACTGACACCCCTACGTGAAGCTGGATTGGTGGTGGCTGAGTAGATTACCAGGAAATACTGATTGTTGGATGGATAGGGCTTGATATGTGAATTAGCTAACAGTTATCGTGTACAGGAATTGTCGTTTGTTTGCATGCTTTCGAATCAATGTACAATGTATGTGACAAGTGTAAGACAACAAATTAACTTTTGCGATATGATTGGTGAAGTTTGGGCGCTACGGTGTACAAGAGTGGCTTTCAGATGGTGCATTTGTTCGTTATCGTTGTTGCCAATGAAGAGTACAAACGCAGTCGGAGTTGTGGATCTCACGCGTGTCACACTTGCCCACCCAGCCTCAAGCCCTCCGGCAAGCTGGGAATAGAGTCGAGCCGCACAATGAAAACCTTTTCCCTGTCGGTGGTACACTAGGGCCTCCTGCGAATCTCGTCTTTATTCGCATGGCTGGATTCCCGTCTCGTAAATCGCATCGCAGAAATTCCCTGGACCACCAGATCCTGGCAAGCACCCACTGGACCGGATCAGCCAATGAAGGGTGTCCAATGCATTCCAGCTCATGTCCGCCAACCATCGGCGACCGTCGATTCCATTATCTCTTCGCAGCATCCATTGTTTGCGTGAATCCCCTTGTTCTCAAGAACGCTTCCCTCCATTTTCACACCTTCAATCTCCTGTCAGCCTCTTTGAGCCAACAAGGTCGAGAAAAGCTTTTTGAATTGTCTCTCTTGTCACGAGCCTGTCCGAAGCAGGCTGCTGTGAGATTCTGGTCAGAGGTTGAAAGTGAACCCGATCGCGGTTACAGTTTTGAGTTCGCGATCTTCATTCGGAGTCCTCCCCGGATACACAGCAGCCGCCATGTCAGAGGAGACGCAGAGTCTGACCGGGACGGTCGGCCTGGCCACAAAGACAGGCGGGTGGATAAAGAAGGACGAAGTCAAGCAGGCCGTCTCCAGGTGAGCTCGCTGCCATAGAACGCTCTTTTAACCCCTCTGCAGCAATGCGTTGTTTAGCATTGCTTTTATGGAAGGTTATATGGGCATTCAGCAGCTTCTACATAGGGTTCTCGCTTGCACTAACGAGGATGAACCCTCTGCACTAACGAGGATGAACCCTCTCCACCTATTCAGGCTACGGAACTAACGACTAACGAACTAATGGTCAAGCCAACGAACTGATTTAAACTTCTTTATCGATCCATGTAACCGGCATTGTCATCGTACCTCACGTCACATCCACTGTCTATCTTACCTGATTCGTCTGCTCGTTGATGTCCTCTAGAGCCGCTTCCTGACGCTCTCGTTTTGTCATGTCCAACGTCGTGCTTTCTGGCACGCGCGGCACTCTGATGCGTTCTCCGGTCCTTGCCTTTGCGTTTTTGTTCTGCCTGCTGCAGCTATGAGAACTACCACGAGAGCTTTGGAGGCAGCGACAACTCTCGCAAGTCCAACTACACCGACATGGTACGTGACAACTACCGCGCGACGGGTTGGTTGGATGGTCAATGTGGTGGCCTACCAACCAAATGCTATGCAGAGCAGATGTCAACTACACCGACATGGCATGTGATCAGCTCGACTGCTCGGTGGGACGGTCAATGTGGTGGCCTACCAACCAACTGGTATGCGGAACAAAACTTTTCGTGAACTGTTTGGTCTGTAGCTGTGCAAACAAGACTACCACCACACACCTCCACCCCCGCTCGCCCGTCTCTTTCCCATTCTCTCTTCCCCCCCCCCCACCCCCCCCCCTGTCTCTCTCCCCCCTCCCCACCCTATCCCCTTTTCTCTCCCTGTCTGGACACCTCCAGGTGAACAAGTACTACGATCTGGTAACCAGCTTCTACGAATACGGCTGGGGAGAGTCGTTCCACTTCGCCCACAGGTACGACCTCCACTGACGCACACGCATTGTGGGGGGCACATGCATTCTGGGGGGCACATGCACTCTGGGGCCACTTGCATTGTGGGGGACACATGCACTCTGGGGGGCACGTGCACTCTGGGGGGCACTTGCATTCTGGGGGGCACATGCACTCTGGGAGGCACATGCATTCTGGGGGGCACATACACTCTGGGGGGCACATGCACTCTGGAGGGCACATGCATTCTGGAGGGCACATGCACTCTGGAGGGCACATGCACTCTGGAGGGCACATGCACTCTGGAGGGCACGTGCACTCTGGAGGGCACATGCACTCTGGAGGGCACATGCACTCTGGAGGGCACATGCACTCTGGAGGGCACATGCACTCTGGAGGGCACATGCACTCTGGAGGGCACGTGCACTCTGGAGGGCACATGCACTCTGGAGGGCACATGCACTCTGGAGGGCACATGCACTCTGGAGGGCACATGCACTCTGGAGGGCACATGCACTCTGGAGGGCACATGCACTCTGGAGGGCACATGCACTCTGGAGGGCACATGCACTCTGGAGGGCACATGCACTCTGGAGGGCACATGCACTCTGGAGGGCACATGCATTCTGGGGGGCGCATGCACTGGAACGAGCTTGCTGTGCGCGGCATACATACATGGTACAATGACCCGTGCCAGCCGTTGTGGAGCTCAAGCGCTCCAAGCGCTTCAAGCGCACTCCTTTGCATGCGACCCTGGATCATGCTCTCGGTTAAAGACGTCTCAGTAGTCAATGCTTTCAACGCTTCGAGCAACGGATCTCAGGGATGCATGCTTTGCAATGCTTGGGGCCCTCACAAGACGTCCAATGCCTCTGCGTTGCCACACACTGCATCGTTGATGCGCTGATCCATGTGTCAGGCTGAGGGGCGAGACCCTACGGGAGAGCATCAAGCGCCACGAGCACTTCCTGGCTCTTCGCCTCGGGCTTCGCCCCGGCATGAAGGTCAGTGATTTCCTTCAGGCATCAAGGGGCGTACCCACATGCTGCTCTACGCCTTGCACACCTGGTTTACCTCTCTAGCGGTCCATGTCAGTCGTTCTCTAAGTCCACTCGCTACCTGGTGCATGGTATAATTTTTGCTGTCTGCTACCCAATTATGCTTGCCTCCTTCTCGACCCTTCTTTCCTCCCCCCTTCTTGGAATCTTCATGCCCCGTGCCTTCTCTTGCCCCTCTCTCCCACCCACGCTGTTGCACCCCACCCGTCTCGCCTCATTGCACCTCACTGTGTCAAACCTGCCCACCGTGCGCGCCCCATCAGGTGCTGGATGTCGGTTGTGGCATCGGCGGGCCGTTGAGAGAAATCGCCATCTTCAGGTTCGCCCACAGCCACACCGCACGCCGCCGTCACGCACCGCCACGGCCATTGCCACCCGCAACCACAGCCAGAGCACATGCCGCGTCAAGCACAGCCACGGCCGTTGCCAGCCACGAATACAGCCAGAGCACGGCTGATTTTGTAGTCCCGTGCTTTGAACTCACAATGCAACGTTTCGATTCCGGCTAAGATGTGTCCCCTCCACTCCAACAACGCCCCACCCGCACTGCTTCACCTCTGCCCACTCTGCCCCTAAACCCCTCCGCCTCATTCCTGAGCTCTCTTCCTCCCTTTCCCCCCTCCCCTGCTTTTGAATGCGCTCCACATGTGTCTCTCTTTATGATTTATGTTTTGGGCATTCACTTTGACCCCTCCACCGCTCTGCGTCCTTCCATCTCCCTACTCAGTATTCTTTGACAAACGCGCATGTGCCCCCTGTCCCACCCCTGTTCCCTCCCGAATGGTCCTGTGTCCCCTGATCCGTCTGTCCCTCCGCGTGCCACATCACACAGTGGCGCCACAGTGACGGGGCTCAACAACAACGAGTACCAGATCTCTCGTGGCAAGGTGCGTCTCCCCTTCCATCCATCCATCTGTCCATCCACACACACACACACACACACACACACACACACACACACACACACACACACAGACACACACACACGTACATACATACATGCATACACACATGGATGCATGCATGCACACGTATACCTTGCATATGTTCATACATATATATTGAACGAATCAAGACTGTCTTCATGACTCCTCCAATGCACAGACCACCAAGAACATCCTCCGTTCAGATTCCGCCAGCTGTATGCTGCCTCACCGCCAGAAACTTTCTCACGCCATTGTCTCTTCTCCTCACTCTTGCCACCGCCCCCACTCCCCTCCACCCACTCGCGAGGTGCTGGACCATCAGCACCGCACTCTGGAAGCATGCGGGCTCATCATACGCATCCCGAGGCGCCGCGGCCTGTCCTGTGCAGTGCTCTCACGGCCCCCTCCCTCCCTTCCACTCACACATAACAGGTGCTGAACCGCCGCCACCGCTGCCTGGAGGCGTGCGGGTTCATCAAGGCGGACTTCATGAGCATCCCCGTGCCCGACGCGTCCTTTGATGCTGTCTACGCCATCGAAGCCACGTGCCACGCGCCTGACGCTGTGAGTGCCACGCCCTGTTGATCTGTCGAGCTTTGAGCTTGGACGCGTGTGGTGTGGACTCCTCTTCATGACCATCCACGTGCCCGATGCGCCCTGTTATGCCGTCTACACCATTGAGGCCACCTGCCAGTGCCCGACGCAGTGAGTCGCCTCGTGAAATGTCCGCCTGTGCGGAGACACGTCAGGGTCTTGACTGTGGTTCTTATCGGGTTCTGTGTGGGACCCGTGTGGTGGGTCCCGCAACTGAAGGAAAAACGCCAGGTTTTATTCATTTATTCTCAAAACCTGACATTTATCATGAGCATCCCCTTGCCATGCCGGATGCCTCTTCTGAAGCCATAGACTCTGTCAAAGCCACATGCCACCCCCCTGATGTTGCGAGTGTGCTGTTGATGGGTGGACGCCTGGACTGTGAAGGAGTATCGGACTGCTACAGGGACAGCATACCACAAGTTCGACCCCACCTATCCTGCTTGCCCTACACTAACCCGACTGTCCTATATCCTATATGTGTATATCCCTCCAGGTGGGGTGCTACAGCGAGGTGAAGCGAGTGCTGAAGCCGGGGCAGTGCTTTGCGGCGTACGAGTGGTGCCTCACAGACGCCTACGACCCCACCAACGCACAGCACCAGGAGGTCAAGGTGAGACCCGCTATAGAGTGATCAGTAGTTGTGTCAGATTGACTTGAGCACCATTGATGATTATAATTTCACCAACTTGCAGCGCAGGGATGTCAAGGTGGGACCCTTTATAGATTGATTCACTTCCATCTTGGTACTGAGTGGTGCGTGCTCCTGCCCTCTCTGCTGTCCCCCCGTCTGCTGTTGCTCTCTGTGCAATCGCTTTGCTGGTTGCTCTCTGTGCAATCGCTTTGCTGGTTGCTCCTTGTCGTGTGGCGCAGAGGGAGGTGGAGCTTGGCAACGGGCTGCCTGACATCCGCACCACGGCGCAGATCCGCCAGGCGCTCATAGATGCAGGCTTCGAGGTGAGCCGTAAAATGCACAGGGCAGAGGCACGCACAGGGTACTGACAGACGGGGCGACTGCAGCGTAGCACGGGGCGACGCATGCAGCGCAACGGCCTGTTTGGCAATCGCACCACTAACACTAATTTTTCTATCTGCTTAAACTGCTGCTTAGGGAGGTTTTGGCTCAGGGAAATGGCACAAGCCCGTTGCCTCTATCCCCATTCCCTGTATCGCCTTTTCCCACACCCTTCCGTGTCTTCACGCCCACCACCCCTCTCCTCCCACCTCCTCGACGCCAAAGACCGGAAGGAGACGGCGGAGTTGCGGTGGCACAAGCCCGTTGCCTCTATCCCTGTATCCTGTACCTCCTCTCCACCGCCCATTTCCCTCCTTCCCCTCGCCCATCCGCTGTACCTCTCTTCCCTTACAGATCCTGGAGGCGGCAGACCTGACGGAGACGGCAGAGGTGGCCTGGCACAAGCCCCTGGACCCCAGCTACTTCTCGCTCTCGCAGTTCAAACTCACTCGAGTCGGCCGCTTCCTCACCACCACCTTGGTACGCCCTCTTTGTCTCATCTCACCACCACCTTGGTGCACTCTCGTGGTCTCATCCTCACAACCTCCCTGGTACGCCCCTCTGCGTCCTCAACCCTCCCTGGTTTGTCCTCCTTGTCTCATCCCCACCAACTCCCTATCTCTGCCGTGCCTCCTCCCTCACTCGTGCCGTCTTACTCTGTTACAATTCCTTCGTATCGCCTTTCCTGTTGCAGCTCGTGCCACCTTCTCTCTCACTCTCACTCTCCTATCCCTTCTCTCAAATCACGCCTGTGACTTGACCTGCATCTAAACCCCGACCCCATTGTTTCTTCCCTGGTTGGCTTTCTCCTCTCCACTTTTCCCTCCCTCTCTCATTCCCTTCCAAATCCTTCCTCCCTTGCCCGTCCCCGTGGCTCTCAACCAATCAGGTGCAAGTGCTGGAGAGGCTACACATAGCGCCAGCTGGCAGCTACCGTGTGCAGAAGTTCCTCGAGAGGGGGGCCGACGCGCTAGTGGAGGGCGGCAAGTGAGTCCCGCTTTCTCTGTATGGCTGGGGTATTCTGTTCTCTGATAAATGTGTTCGCACATGTTCGTTGTCCTCTGTTTGTTTGGTTTTTTTGTCTTTTTTTTTTGCTGTGTTCTTTCTTCCTTGTTTCACTGGTGCTTGCCGCAGAGCTCTGCATGCATGTGCCAAAACATGTCTCCCTCTACCATCATCTCCATTCCCTCCACTCTTCCACGTCTTCCCTGTATTCGTCCTTCCCCTCATCACCACTCCCATCGTCCCCTCCCCCCACCTCCCCTCCTCCCTCTCTCCTTTCTCTTTCTCCCGTTTCCTCTTCTCCTCCTATCCCTTTCTTCCTCCCTCTCCCTCCCCTCTCTCCCGCTCTGGCACTCCATCAATTCCTTCCCCCGTCTCTTTCTCAACCACTACCTATCTGTTTGTTGCTCTCCATGCTGGCGCATGTGTGTGTAGGAGGGAGATCTTCACGCCCATGTATTTCTTCCTTGCTCGCAAACCATTGTAGCCCTGTGGGGTTCTCCGTGTGAAACAATGCTCAATAAAGCGTGAAAATTGTGATGCCTTTGAAATATCTTTGTTTTTTCGCCGAAGTACAATGTTATTTTGCCTGCTAGTCAACCACTTCATAAATTGTGTAGCCAATAAAGCTCGCTATATGGAATGAGTTCCGTTAGCTTAGAGCTGACAGCGGAATGCATGAAAGCGAGGATGCGAGGTGGAAGCAGGGGGGGGTGGTCTATGGTGGCGGCTTTCCCTGGCCAGGGGCGCGCAGCTGCCAAGGATCCTTCCGCCTCCTCCTCCCCTCCCCAGTAGTCCAGAGCTTTCGCCAGAAGCTTCGTGTGACGAGATTTTTCATCTCATAGCGGATGAGTCTTTCAGTTTTTTCCACAAGCCGTTCCGACCAGGCGTTTAGCCACTCCTCCAGATACAGCCTAGCCAACTGCTTCAACACCTGTTACTTTCTGAACTAGCGAATCCCTGGTTGCTAAGCTCCCACTTTGTCCGCAACATGTTTCGGAGTTTGTTCTGCCCGCGGCGCGGCCGCCGTAGGCAGGGCGCTGAGTCATCCCTGTATCCAGGGTGGCGAGCCGCCATCTGCTGAAATCCCCATTCACAGACTGAAACCTGTGACCTGTGCCATGTGACGTGTGACTTGCTACACAGTGCTTTTCTTGGCTGCCGTGCACGCTCGTACATAATCCACGCTCGTACATAATCCGGGGCATTTACAAGAGAGGGCACTGCTGTCGACCAACCGTGCCGAAACCGAGTCTTTCGATTCCATTCCATCATCAGCGCGCTGCTCGTGAGCCTTTCCTCACTCGTTCTTCCTGACCTGCTGACCTGCCCGTGCCGAGGCTTTGCAGTTTCTCGCTGAAAGCGACGGTCGCCCATCGCTCGGACTCGTGCTTGTTTATCGACGCGACTCAGAATCTTGACAATGGCGCCGTGGGTTGCGCTTGCACTCGTGGGGCTCCTGCTGGGAGCGAGTGATCTCCGCGCGGCTCGCGGACAGGAGTCGTTCAACTACGACCTGTCGGGCACGGACTGGAAGGTGGGCATCTCTTTGCGCCCAGGGGCTTCTAAAAGTCTTCGCTTCTCGGGGCGCCTCATATAGTCACACTCCGCCTCTTAGCTGTGCCTCTTCCTCCCAGGGTCTCTGTGCCAGTCCGGCAGGAGGCAGAGCCCCTTCAACATAGTCACATTCCGCCTCTTATTTGCCCCTCATATCGTCACATTCCGCCTGTTACCTGCCCCTCCTCCTTGCAGGGTCTGTGCCAGTCGGGCAAGAAGCAGAGCCCCATCAACATAGTCACATCCGCTGTGAAGCGTGCCGATGGCCCCTCACTGCTCAAAGTGAAGCACCCGCTGAGCCGCGAGATCACCGTCACCAACGAGGAGCACGCCGCTGGTACGCGTTATAAAGAGGCTGTGGTACGGGTTATGAGTCCGAGGATCCTGTGGAGTGGCCTACAGGCCAATTGCTGTTGAATGTGAAGCTCCCGCTCGGGCGGGAGATATTGAAGCTGAATTGGTCCGGCTGATCACAGCGCTGTGATTGCTTCTTTCAGCCTCAATCACAGCGCTGTAAAAGAGACACAGCTGACCTTTCCCTCGAGCTGAAACCACCAAGTGGTGTTGTGCCAGAACTGCTAACACCATCACCCACGAGGAGCACGCTGCTGGTAAGACAGCTGCTTGTACGCGTTACTATAAGGCAGGGGATACTGCTGACTCGCCTTCAGGGTCTTCGCTGCTCCGAGTGTAGCACCCACTCTGTCGCGAAAGTACAGTAATTTACGAGGAGCATGGTTGCTGGTACGCGTTCAAAGTTTCTGCGGAACTGCAACATCACTGGGCAGAACAAAGGGTTCCGAGGGCGTCGGCATATGTTACGCCCGCACACCCTTGCACTGCTTTCGAATAGCGCACACTCTTATCGCTTGTGCCATCGTAAGTTTGAGCCATTCCTTCCCATCGCTATAGGTGAGTCTTGAGAAGCCTCAAAAACCACACGTGCTGTTCTGGCTTGTGCCGTTGTAACATCTAGTCATTCGCAATGCTCCGAAAGCATCTCCCTTGTCGCACGTCCCATCCAGCCATGTGATTGCAAGCTGGCATGCACCACTGCCTCACGCGCCGCATAACGCTGTCCCCCTTCCTCACACGCCCCCTCCCCCCGTGCCCAGCCGTTTCACCGCAGGCGGGCAAGCGCTACTACCTCACGCTCCCCTCGGGGCTGCACAAGCTGGACCACTCCGACCTGCAGGTGAGGGCCGAGAATGCAGTTGGGTGGGCTCTGTGCTGCCTTTGATGGGCTTCCCTTGGGGCTGCACAGGTTGGCTGGACCATTCCGACAAGCACACACAGCCAAGGGCAGCTTCAATAGTTGAAGCTTTGACAGCAATATCTTACCACGCCGCATTGAGAGCCCTATCCTATCTGCATGTGAGGGCAAGGCTGACGTGGGCCTACATTTAGCCAGTTTTCTTTCTCGTCTTGAATCCACCCTCCATGCTGCACCAGACCCCAACACCCTCGCCGTCTCTCACTCTTTTCTATGCTCCCTGCAGGTGCCCAGCATCCACCTCGTGAACGGCGTGCAGGCGCCCATGGAGGCCAAGTTCGCGTATGTCAACACGGGCAACACCACCCGCAAGTCTGTCTTCACGGTGCTGCTGCAGCTGCACCCCGCCGACAAGGACAACGCGTGGCTCGACCTGTAAGCAGTTGAAAGGCATGCAGTAGTGTGCAGCTGCCTTTGCTCTCCTCTCCTACGGTTGAGCCTCGCGCCGTCCTTGTCCGAGGGGCGCAGCCACAGCAACACAAACAGGTTTGCAGCTCAGCCGTACATAAGGTAGCACAGCACAGACGCAGCTGCTTATGAACCGCTACCCTAGCTACCCTAGCATGACTGCTCTTGCCCCGTTGGTGTCCTTTCTCCCCTCTCCACTCTCCCCCTCCCCTCAGCTGGCTGAACCACACCCGGCACCCGGCACCCGTGAACAGCACAGCCAAGGTGGAGCCCACGACCAGCTCCCCTCCCTTCCCCTGCTTCATTGAGTCCGCCTCTCCCCCCTCCTCTCTCGCCCCTCCTCTCCTCTCCCCAGCTGGCTGAACCGCATTCCAGCGGCGGTGAACGGCACGGTGAAGGTGGCGGCGAAGACCAACTTCATGGAGCTGCTCTCGTTCAACGTGCCCTTCTGGCACTATGAGGGGTCGCAGGTGCGCGCGCGCACACATGCATGCATGCGTATGCCTTACTAACGCACATACATGGATGCTTGCATGCATGCGTATAACCTGGTATACGTACATTACATACGTACATGTATACATGCATGCATGCACTAATTGCTGCAACACACATACCTTGTCCCCCCTGCTCCTCTCCCCTCTCCCCTCCCCCCCTCTGCCCTGTGATCGCAGGTGCACCCGCCCTGCACCGAGGTGGTGGACTGGTTCGTCTCAATGCGCCCCAAGTTCGTCTCCACGCGCCAGGTGGGTGCTGGGGGGATCTTGACGCGCCAGGTGGGTGCTGGGGGGGTCTTGACGCGCCAAGTGGGTGCTGGGGGGATCTCGAATTCCTCAAGGGTTGGTACACTGAACAACAACAACAGCAGCAACAGCGTTGATACATGAACTTTCTCTCTCGCACCAATGGCGAGGATTGAACAACGTGACCTCCCCTTCGCCCTTCCCTCTCCCCTCCCCTTCCCCCCTCCGTTCACGTTGTCCATCCCTCTGTCTCCTCCTCCCCCCCCCACCAGCTCGCCACGTACATGAACTTCCTCTCGCGCACCAACAGTGGCGACCGCACCAACAACCGCCTGCCGCAGCCGCTCAACGGGCGCGTGGTGTCCATGTTCAAGGCGTAGACAGGAGGGTGGATGGCGTGAGGGCATGTGGGAGAGCGAGAGCACGTGGGAAGGCACGTTCAAGGCACGATGAGAGGCCGCATAGTTGCCCTTTGCGCTCAACAACCGCAGTGTTCCGTGTTCAAGGCGTGGGGGGAGGCCACAAGGGCACGAGGCGACCTTTGAGTCGACTCATATGTCACCTCATGTTCAAGGCGTTGAGAGGCCAAAGATCGAAGGCTACTTGTGCCTCTAAACGACCTTACTCTTGTGTTGCCCCCTTCAAGGGGACATGACTAGAGGCCAGATGGGTGGCAGCAGGCAGGTGGGGAGGGATAGTGGATGTGTTAGAATGGGTGGGGGAGCAGATACGGTAGTGTAGGTGATAGGACGGGTGGAGGGGGGGGGGGGTAATAGTGGTGGTAGGCAGGGAGGGGAATAAAGTTGGCTGCTTGCCCGCCCAGGAGTTTGGCCGAGGGTGGAGGGGGGGGCGAAGGTGGTGTGTTGTCGTGGCCAGCCAGGCAGGTTGGTGCATGTTTCATGTAGCTTCGTTCGTATGGTTCGCTTCAAAGATGCCGTCATGTCACATGGTTTTGGGGGAGCCTCATCTGGCCTGTGGATTGCCCACACTGAGTGTGACCCTGTGTGACTAAGGTTTGATTTGTTTGTTTGCCTTTGTAGGAGAGTTGCATGTAGTAAATCTATAATCACAACAACACATAAAATTCCTGTGGAACCAATAGCCTTAGCGAGCAAAGCATTCAGATCTTGTGCATCAGTGTGCGATCTCCCAGTTTGTTTTCTGTAGGCCTGATGCAAGTGGCAGACACGTGATCGGACCACCAGCTCTCACCCCACCCTCCGCGCCTTCGTAGTTTCCTCCCTCGGCGTGTCTTCTGAATCATGATACGTAAGAGTTGTATGTGCTTCTGGAGCTGAAGCGCTAAAGTGTTACGCAAGGGTGGCTATATATACATCGTGCATGTGTAACAACCGTGCGCATGGGATGGGGCAGATGAAATGGGGCGTTTCAGCCCCCCTAGTGACTATCAGCCCATTGTTGGCGAGTACAGAGCATCATGCTCTGCAGCACCATGTGCCCACGGGGATCCCAGTGCGCACAGCAATCTGCCCTTGGGGCAAGAGAGGTGAATCCATACCCATGTCCGGCACCGCACGGCTCCCCTAACAGCCGAACCCCCTGCTGCAGCCTGCTAGCTGCGTGAATAGCGAAGCCTTGAGCTGGCCTCTCAGGGCGCCCTTGGGGAAGGAGGGGGTGGTGACCAGGACGTAGAAGGAGGCGTGCATCTGCGGGAGAGGGGAAGGAGGGGGGGGGGAGAGGAAGATAGATTGGAGGGAAGAGAGGAATGAAAAGGGACGCCTTGAGCTGGCCTCTATGGGCGCCCTTGGGGAAGGAGGGGTGGTCACGAGGACGCAAAAGGACGAGGGCATCTGAGAGGGGAGGGACGAGGCAGGGTGGAGGGAATGAGGAATGAGAATGGTCGCCTTGAGCTGGCCTCGATGATTTCATGGGGAAGGAGGGGGTGGTGACCAGGGCGTAGAAGGAGGCGGGCATCTGAGAGGGGGAAAAGGGGTAGAGAGGGGGAGAGGGAGAGTGTGAGGAGGGTGAGGCGACCAGGGCAAAGCTCCTGGGTAGAGGGCGCATTTGTAAACGCCACTTCAAGATCCCATACCCATGCAGTTAAGCTGGGCCTCAAAGCACCAAGGGAAAGGAGTGGTTGACCCCAGGGCATAGCAGAAAAAGGGCTGATGCTCGGCAGAAGGAAGGGAAAGCGAAGGGGATGGGGGAGTGGAGGGGATGGGGGAGTGGAGGGGACGTGGAAGGGAAAGGGGGCGTGGGAGCGGATCTGTTGCGCTGGCCTCTCAAGGCTCCAGAAAAAGGAGTGAGGGACCAGGGCGGTGAAGAAAAACAGAGGGCTTCTAGTGAGCGGAAGGAAGGGTGAATGACGGTGGGGGAGAGCGGGATGGTGTGGAGGGGAAAGGGCGCATGGGTTGGGGATAGTGAAGAGAGGACGTAGAGGGGAAAGGGCGCATGGGTATGGATCTTGAAGTGGCGTTGACAAATGCCCCGACCTGCCGCTCCAGGGTCATGAGCACATGATGCAGGGTCATGAGCACATGATGCAGGGTCATGAGCACATGATGCAGGGTCATGAGCACATGATGCAGGGTCATGAGCACATGATGCAGGGTCATGAGCACATGATGCGGGGCGCCAGTAGCTGATGCGGCGATAGGGGGTGTCGCTGGAGCGCCCGAAACAAGTTCCTGATATAGAGTGTCGCTGTTCTTGCATGGCCGCTCTCCGCCTGTACCTGCATGCATACGCGATGCCACGAAGCTGTACCTGCATGATCGTTGCAAATAGCAGCGTCAGCGATTCTCCTGACGAGATCGTCTTCTTGCTCGCCTGCTTGAAAACTCCCTGCAACGCAAAGCCGTTCCCCCTTCCCTTCCCTTTCCCTTTCCCCTTGCCCTTCCCTCGCCCAATAAGCTTTGCCACGCTGCCCCACGCCTTGTCAGCGGTGCCAGCTGGGATCCACGTGGACGAGGTCAGATTGAGGATGGCCGGGCCATTGGCTGTGGCGGTTGCCACGCGGATTGATGCTGACGTGGGCTTTTCCGACGTGCTGAGCTGGCTGACTGTGATTTGATAGCGGATGCTCAGATCTGCTCCTGCTCTGCCACGTGGGCAAGGAAGGAAGTGGGAGGGGAGGAGCACAGGGAAAACGGAAGAATGTGGGAATGAGGGAAGAATGGGATGGAAATAAGAATGGGAGCAGTAGTAAAATGAAGGATAATGGCGGTGGCATGGTTTTCCTTGAATGTAGAAGAGGGGGGTGGGGAGAACGAAAAGGAGCGGTGATAATTCACACGATTTCAAAAGAATATCGTAGATGGCACAAGCAGTTACAAAGTTTCTTGCACGGCGCAATCTACGTTTAGATGAAAATATACCACTTTGATAAAATTAGAGAGTGTTTTCTTACTTGTATATAATAAAACTGGCTTTTCCGGACGCCCTGCTGTCGCCCGCACTGCCACCACATTGGTGCCAGCCAATTTACCGAGCACCTCTCCTGAAGAGAGACGAAAAAGTTGGAGAGCCGAGGGAGGAAGGCACGGTTAGGGAGGAAGAGCGGGGGCAAGAGTGGAAGGGGAGGGGGGGAAAGGGGCAGGGGCTAGAGAGGAGAGGCGCTCCGTTAAAGGAAGGCCCGTCGCATGGTTTGGCATATGTGACGGAACGAGATGAAGGCGGAGGAAGTTGGGGAAGGTCCAGTGCCGCGGGCAGGAACGAGATGAGTCGATCGTTGAGGCGCCTCAAAAAAGGTCCAGTGCCCGCGGGCAGAGCGAGATGCAGGGAGGAGGCCACGTGGACATGAAGGGAGGAGACACGTGGACATGAAGGGAGGAGGCACGTGGACCAGAGACCCACTGAAGGGAACGGCGACCAGCTTCTGCTGCCACTTCGTTACATTCACATCCCCCTGGCCGCCGCCGCCGCCGCCGCCGCCACCGCCGCCGCCGCCGCCGGGGAAGCCTGGAATTCCTGACTGTGATGCGGCGACTGGAGGGATGCGGGGGATGGGGGAGAGGGGCGCGTGGAAAATGGGGAGAGTTGGGTTCGGGGAGGTGAACGACAGGCTCGTCGACGTCGCAAGAAGCGGTCTGCCATGTGGCATTGCGAGGGACTCCCTGGGACGGTCGCGTGGACGCGAAAGAGGAGGGAACAGAGAGCGCCTCGCAACACAACCACTCACGGATAATGGGAAACAGAAGAATCGCTAGTATCAGTGTTGTCGGCGGCTGAACTTCCGGCATGAAGCCACGTGTGCGCGTGAAGGCTGTGCGGCTGATCGAAGCTGGTACCCCATGTCTGACAATAGTAGCAGTCGGCTCTACCTATTGCTGCTGCTGACACTGCTGGTTGCTGCAAAATAGTCAATAAATTAGTGCCCAAGTATAGTTAGCATGTATATATTGGTCGTCTAGCGACCGAGCTCTGCTCCTTGATAGCGGTAGATGAAGGAATCCAGAAGGTTCTTTGTTCGGAAAACCCGTGTTTGCTCCCAGCGCGGAATGCGGCGAGTCAGGTATCCGACGGAGTGGTGTCAACTTTCCGCTATTCACGGCTATGGTCGACGCTTAAGGTCTACGGTGCAAGAAATGTCGAGAAGGGTCCACAGCTAGAGGAGTTGACAGAGGAGACTAGCTTCAGAAGTGCAAACGAGGGAGGCGGTTTGTGTGGTGGGGCGTGCTGCTTTTACTGGGATTGTGCGCCATTGCACGTAGCAAATTCGGTTTTGACATTCGCCAAGGGGCTTTGGTGAATGTCTTTGCGGCGCGAATGGCACGATTTGCGTGAAAGCGAGTTTCCACTTGCTGGGCTAAACGCGGTGCGGCTTTCAATGCCACATCATGCTGCATTCGTTCCGTTCCCACCTGACACGCCGCCTTCGCGTGGACTGACGTGTACTGCGAAAAAAACTACCGTAAAGCACTCATCAGTACCATCCACTACACCAAACCTGCTGTACGCTGAGCGTTGCGCCTTCGCTGCAATGGCTTCCTCTCTATGTCCTGGTGTCACCCAACTATTGTGATGGATTCCACCAAGAACTTGGGGAGAACTAATGTCCAGTATTTGGGCAACTGATAACACATACTATACCATTGGACTAAACGATTTGACACTAGTGTCCACACAACGGACATTCGATCGTTTTATCAAGTTAGACTTACCAAGTGTTCATCTGGTGTTATTTTGGGAATAAATGGCTCCAGTACGTCGACATAATCCATGGCCAGGAAACAACGATTCCTCATATCTCAACCAGCTTAAGGTTTGCTCATTTCTCCAAGCAGGTCATCCTGGGGAAACAAGTGTTCGCGTTGTCAACATATATTTGTGTATGTGATAGGCTAGATAGGTGCATGCTCATAGAGAGAACAACTCCTTAAGACAAAACCACCCTATATCACTCATTCTAGTTCATTGCGTTGTTCTGAGATGGTATCACACTAGGTTAGGCCCCCCTCCCCGCTTAGGCTTCTGCCCCTAGCCCTAGACCTAGCCCTAGCCCTAGCCCGTGTCCTAGCCGTGTCCTAGCCGTGCCCTAGCCCTAGCCACGCCCGTGCCCTAGCTCTGTCCGCGCCAGCCCCGTCACTTCACGCCGGCCCCGTTAGTTCGTGCCGGCCCCGCTAGTTCGCGCTGGCCCAACTAGTTCGTGCCGGCCCCATCACTTCGCACTGGCCCCGTCAGTTCGCGCCGGCCCCGCTAGTTCGCCCCGGCCCCGTCAGTTCGCGCTGGCCCCGTCAGTTCGCGCCGGCCCCGTCTCTTCGCGCTGGCCCCGTCAGTTCGCGCCGGCCCCGCCACTTCGCGCTGGCCCCGTCTGTTCGCGCCGGCCCCGTCTCTTCGCGCTGGCCCCGTCAGTTTGCGCCGGCCCCGCCACTTCGCGCTGGCCCCGTCAGTTCGTGCCGGCCCTCGTCAGTTCTCGCCGGTCCCGCTAGTTCGCGCCGGCCCCATCGTTTCGCGCTGGCCCCGTCACTTCGCGCTGGCCCCGTCACTTCGCGCTGGCCCCGTTAGTTCGCGCTGGCCCCGCTAGTTCGCGCCGGCCACGTCCGTTCGTGCCGGCCCCGCTAGTTCGTGGCGGCCCTGTTGCTTTGCGCTGGTCCTGTTAGTTCGCACCGGC